GTAGTCTATAGTGTACACTAGTTCAGGAGTGCAGCAATAAAGAACAGACCCCTAGAAACAGCCAACCCGAACGCACCTGTGTTGTACCGTTGCGTTCCAAAACTCATCGAAATAAACGTTTCGACAGTTCGAAAGTTATGCCGCCGAGTGTACCCCCATTATGCGTCACTAGCGATCAGCTGATATTGTTTGCCGTAAAGAATTTGGCGTCCGACCCCTGATGCCACGTGCATCAAATCCATCTGTACTTTTTGGAGACCTACGATGGCGCAAAACGGTCGAGTGAGCTTATTTAAAAGACGCAAGAATTTTTAGGCTTACTAGTCTCCCTCCTACGTTACTTGCCTCGAGGTAAAACCGGTGAGTGATACAATCTCACTTACTTGCATCGGAAACTCTACGCTATTCACTTTATTATTAATTTGAGTTCTTTAAGCTTTATACGATTTTTCTGCAAATTTGGATCTTAGTACGCGTCGTATTAGATGTAAACATTTAATGATACTCTGCTGCTACATTTTTTAATAGTGTGGTTTTAATATGTTGCAAACTTATTTAAGTAGTTGCAGATTTACTCAACGATCAAGATGACGTCGATGTTCGACCAGTACGAGCAAGCTTCTCAGCGCTCCAAGCAAGTACTGGCGCCACCAATTCGTCCCGATATTGTACGTCCGTTGCCAGACACCAATTAATGGAAATAGTTAAAGGCAGTCATTGCAATCGCAGCATTGTTTTACAGAGCACAGCTGGTTTCATACAAATGAAGCTGCAGGATGATGGGCCGATATTCACCAAGCAGAAGGTCAACTTTCTGCCGTCGGACAAAATTCTTCACTTGGCGGTCAGCAGTAACACAATTGTGATCGCCATGGCTAACAACATTTTGCTACGCATCGACATGAAGCAACCCGACAAAACTGAAGGTGGGTCAGGCAGTCGCTTGCATCTTTTTACTAACAATACATAAATAGTAAAGGTTTTCTCAGAAATATTATTTGGCTCGTTTTATTGTATCAAGTGTACGTTAAATTACATGTACTTGTGTGAAAATTAATTCTTCGCCAATAGAGCATCGCGCTTTCGCTTCCAGAAATCGACATATCCAAGTATGCGTTGAGTATGAAGATGTCCGGCTTGTTTCTGGATCCGTTGGGCCATCACCTGCTGATAACTTTGGTGCCGAAGCACGGAGATAATCCGCCGCCGGAGTTGTTCTACTTGCACAGGAAGACGACGAAGCTGAAGCAGGCTGGCAAGTTCAAAGGCCACGAGATCACCGCGGTAGGTTGGAACTTCTCCAATGCCTCGGAAACGAGCTCCGGTCCCATTCTGCTGGGCACCGCCAAGGGCCTGATTTTCGAAACGGAGATCGGCTTGGAGACTGACAAGATTTTTAACACGAGTTTGGAGCAATATTGGCGTCAGGTATTGATTGCTTACACGCTAATAGGGCCATCATTTCATTTATCTGTGTATAATACCCTTTCACCATTGCGCTATTCATTTTTAACAAAGCTTCCGAATTACTTGCCTCTTTATGGTTCGAAAGAGGCAGGAGGATTGGTAAGTTCATTTGTTCTTTTTTATATTTATATAGTATGTCTATTATAAGTACGCGATAGATTCAGATTTCATTAACATTTCACTTTAAATAAATAATTAGAAAATATTTTCTAGTAACGTTATCAAGCTTTGTTTGGCTGTGAAAGAGAGCTACGAACGTTGAAAGCTATTTTGGTATTTTCATGAAAGATTAAAGCTGGTTGGAAATTTATAACAGTAATGCATGGTCGAAATGAAAGAAGGATAATATTAATATCTTCTAATTATTTGTATCTTGAATCATTATTTAGATATCATCTGTGCATTCTATCTGAAATAATACGAATCACCGTTGATATTGTAAATGTGATTTTAGGTGTTTGACATTGGAAAGAACAGCAAGCCTCCGATCACCGGAATAGAATTCCACAAAATTCCCAACTCGGATAAATACGTGATTATCGTGACCACTCTCATGCGAATTTATCAGTATATCGGTGCCATTGGCAATCCCGAGGAGAAGCCTCTCTTGCAACAAGTATTCTATAGATATCTAAACGCGCAAGGTAAGAAAGAAATATTAAAAAACGTTCTTTATTTTGCACTTTCAATATCCCTTAAACATTCAAATCCTCAAACAACTCGCAGTAATTCTGTAACGACCAATATACATATATAACTTGGTTGTAATTAGATATAAGAGCAAATTTAAATATAAAGTTATCGATTTGCTTCGCTCATCCATTTCGAAATATTTGCAGCAGAAGCATGCAAAGAGAAATAAAAATGAAAGAGAAGAATTGCTCAATCTGAGGAAATGTAAGAAACGTTGGTGTGAAAAGCACGTTTGAATAAATAAATACGTTACTTTACAGAGACCTTTAACGAAGTAATAAATTCCTTGCCATATTCGAAGATGCAATTTTACTATCCATCCCTAGGCGTCCTGCCAAAGTCGTTTGGATGGCTGACGGAAGCTGGCATCCTGCATGCTCAGGTATAATTATATATATGTTAAATACTATATTTCTATGTTATTTTTAAAGATCTAAATGTTAATGCCGTGTAAATCTAAACGTGCATTTCTCTTCTATACTCGATTTATCTCTATGGCTCATTGCTTCCCCATTTTATGGAAATAGGGAAGCTTGGATAGCTCACTCACAAACTTTGCGATTTCCTAAATCTTGTTCTTTTTACGTATAAGCACTTGGAAATGTTGGACGACCTCTCCTGGGGTTCGTATGGCTCGCGTTGAGAATTAATGAAGAGTGCATGATGATCGGTTTTAGGTGGACGCGAAACCGGACGCGAACAACGTTCTGGTGAATCAACGAATGTTGACGTGTCCGGAAACGAGTCTTATGGGCAGTAACGTCCCGCAAACCACCTCGGTGCCATTGTCCTTCGTGCTGACGGAGTTCCACGCGTTGCTGTTGTACCCGGATCACGTGAAGGGCATATCGCTCTTAAATCAGGAATTGATATTCGAAGATATTTACAATGACGTACGTGCGCATCCCAGCAGCTCTTTATCATTATTACGCTGATTAGTTATAAATACTGAGAGTTAGGGAATTGAAAGAGAATGCGTTATAATTAATTTGATAGAGCTTGATTTTATAGAATTCGTGTAATACTCAAATCTTGTCGCATCTGTACATATATAAACAAATCAAGTGTGATTTAATGATATTTAGGCAGTCGGCAAATTAATTGGCATCACCAAGGATCCGGCAACGAGGTCGATTTGGGCTTACAGCGAGCGAGCTGTCTTCAAGTACAAAGTAACGAAGGAAGACAGGAATGTTTGGCAGGTAAAGAGACTAAGGATGTAATAATTTTGTTGTGATAATAACAACTGATCTTTTGCTCAGGTATACGTCGATAAGGGTGAGTTTGAGTTGGCTAAGCAGTATTGCAAAGACAATCCGGCGCATAACGATCAAGTGCTCGTGAAACAGGCAGAAATGCTCTTCAAGAATAAAGAGTAAGTTTGTACGTTGGCGTGTGTATAAAGTTTCATCTGCTTTTACTTGGCTTCACTTTCGTTGTAATATTTTGAATGTCACTTTGCAGATATGAGAAAAGCGCGCTAATATATGCTGATACTCACTCGTCTTTCGAGGAGGTTTCGTTGAAGTTTCTGCAGGAGTGGCAGATCGAAGCTTTGAAAACGTTTCTGCGCAAGGTAAACAATAAGTATAAGAAAACGATTTTATTATCTAGCAGTTGTCTTGTTCCGAAATAAAAATTAATTAACGAATATTTACATTAATTACAACGACTACAAAAGTAGGTAGTCTAATGGAAAAAAATGTATTATGTTTGTTATATGTATACATTGAAATTTAATTTATCTAGTGTACAATTTCAAGCCAATTTTCTATTTTTACATTTTTGTATAAGCGTTTAAAATTCTGGAAACTCTTTAATATTGTTTAATTCCAAAATCACAATTATTTATCTTAATCTGATTACTTGTCTTAAGAAACTCGACGGTTTGAAGACGCAAGACAAGACGCAGATAACAATGATTGTTATTTGGGTAACGGAACTGTTTATGAATCAAATGGGAGCTTTGCGTAGCAGTAACACGTCCTACCTTCACGATTCGCAGTATACAGAATTGCAGAAGCAGTTTGACAGTTTTCTCACCATTCCCAAAGTCGAGGTACTTGGAGAGAATATACGAGTCGAAAGAAGAGAGTATACAGGATGCTTCTCAATTATATTTCATGAATGAATGGAGTTAAAAAAGAAAGTTGTACAAGTGCAAATCGGGTGATGGGTATCTCTAAAATTTTCTTTAATTATATAATTAATTATAAACATGATAAAAGTTTTAAAATTTTTTTCTGATATTTCACATACTTTTTCTTGTTTTTGACATCTTTTTACAATTTTAAATTTATCAGTTCAAGTATTGATATTTTAGAATCATAATTAAGAATCATCCTGTGAATTTGAATATTGTAATTTTGTGTTCCTTTTTCAATCATCGAATTAAATCGATTTATCACAAATTTAAAATCAACTTGAGAGGCGCTAACTGGAACTTTGTATGCAGGAATGTATTAGGAGAAACCGCAGCACGATATACGATTTAATGGCTAGTCACGGTGACAAAGATAATCTGATACGTCTGACAATAATGCACTGCAACTACGAGGAGGTGATTCGTCAGCATCTGTACAAGAATAACTACTTGGAGGCACTCGGAGTACTCAAGAGTCAGAACAATAAGGACCTCTTCTATCAGTTCGCTGGAATCCTGTTGCAGGAGTTGCCAAGGCCTACGGTGGCCGTCTTGATTTCGCAAGGGTCATCGCTGAAGCCGGCGAAGCTTCTGCCAGCTTTGGTCTCGTGCAACAGTGACGAGAAACATGTAAGGAAAAAGGAAGCGCATTACTACTCTTATTTTACAATTATCGACATAATAATTACTAAACTGTGACACGTACACACATATCAATAACAGTTGGTTATTAATTGAAATTTACGTTAAAGCTTTGTTGATAATTTCTCATTTTTCACAGGCGAAAGAAATTATTAAATATTTGGAGTTTTGTGTGTACAAACAAGGCTCGCAGGAACAAGCAATTCACAATTTCCTTCTGTCCTTGTATGCGCGTTACAAGCAGGACGAAGTGATGCGATACATAAGCTCTCAAGGTAAACATTTCATGCCTTTTTTAATGGATAATTTACTTCACTTATAAATTAGTCTGTTGTAACTTTACTATCTGAAACAGAATAATCTATTGCTGTTATTTCTAGGTCAAGATATCAGTATGGTGCACTACGACGTACATTATGCGTTGCGATTGTGTCAGGAAGTGGGCTTGACGGAAGCCTGTGTGCAATTGTCGGCTTTACTCGGTCTCTGGACCACCGCCGTGGATCTCGCGCTCACGATCAGCGTTGATCTCGCTAAGCAGATCGCCGCTATGCCGTCGGATCATGACGACGAGTTGAGGAAGAAACTGTGGTTGAAGATAGGTAATTTAGAACGAGTTTTTAATCAACAATCATCTTAATTCGATTAAAAATGCCAATGTATTTTCGATAAACTGATGACAATTTGAACTTATAATTGTGTAACTTGTTATTAAAATTATTTTTTAATATTTTTACCGTCGCATATGTGCAGCGGAGCACGTGGTGCGAGAAAAAGACGACATACAGCAAGCAATGGAGTTTTTACAACACTGCGATTTAGTTAGGATAGAAGACATTCTGCCCTTTTTCTCCGATTTCGTCACGATCGATCATTTCAAGGAAGCTATTTGCAATTCCCTGCAGGTACAGACTACATCTGTTTTTTTATTAGATTTTAAACTAAATTTTTTTCTCGGTTTTAAACATCTGATTTTTATATTTTGTATTTTAATGATGCTTTTATATCGCGTCTATTAAAGGGCTAATGAAATTCAATACAAAGATAAATATTTATAAGCAACAGGACTTTCGTCAAATTTCCTTTTCTCTTTTAAATATAACAGGAGTATAACCAGCATATACAAGATCTTAAGGAAGAAATGCATGAAGCCACGAAAGCAGCAGAGTTAATACGAAACGACATTCAAGCCTTCAGAACCAGGTATTGATAAAGCGTTGTCCTAGTATTTTAATTGCATTCGTTAACGTTGCGTCTACGTAACTTGTACTATGTAGATCAGCTATTTACATCAGCTGTACATTGAAGTACCTGAATAAGAAAATCAATACTTTGAAATACTTTGGAAGATCAATAAGTAAAGATTGATCGTTCTCGGATAATGAATCAGTATTTAATAAATAGAAATTGCGCTACAATAATTAAAGTAACAATTTGTTTCTCACTTAAATTTAATCTAAAAAGTAAAATAAACAGAACTCGGATATGTTCAGTCTATCAAAAATTCTGTATATGAAAAATGCTTTATTACAATATGATTATATCAGCCACCGTCCACATTTCTATTCTTAATTTAATTACAAAACAACGTTTCTTTTTCAGATGCACATTCGTGCATGCACGGGACACGTGTAATACGTGCGAGGTGCAACTGTTGCTGAGACCCTTCTATGTATTTCCCTGCGGTCATAAATTTCATAGCGATTGTTTAGTAGCGGCGTTAACGCCGATGCTGTCTATGGACCAGAGGACGAAACTGGCAGATCTTCAGCGACAGCTCACGGCTATCTCGAATAGGCCCGAAGACACCACCTCGACGATCTCCGTGTCGTTGTCCACGAGGGACCAGATCAAGGCTGATATTGACGACCTGGTCGCCTCGGAATGCCTTTACTGCGGAGAGCTTATGATAGAGTAAGTCTGGTAGTTAAACGGTTAAAGAGAATTTTAATTGCAAAATTCTAAATAAAATTGAAATGAATATTTTTTTAGAATGTCAAACATGAACGTTATATAACATTTTATAATTTAAAACTCTAATGATTGAATGTGACGATTATTTGCAGATCGATAGACAAGCCATTCATTGAGGAAGAGGATTACGAACGCGTAATGAAGGAATGGATGTAATGAGATTTTCCCGCTGAAAATGTGATAGAGCACGCTTATCTTTTCTTCCTTTTTTAAAGAAGAGATTAATTGCGCTCCATATTATACATATATATACATATACTCGATAACCATAGCTCTCGGTCATACATTAATTATCAAATCTCAGCATTAAGTCTTTGAGACTTGATATTTTCCAAAGTTTTACGAATTTTTTTGTATAGCTATAATCAGCTTAGGACAAAAGCACATTGGAAAGATATACAATATATTGAACTTGAGCTTCAGACTTTTAGATCGCATAATCATGAAGTTATTAGGATTATTCCAATTATTAGTATTACAATTTAGATCCTATATGCATATATATGGCTATAATTTAAATCGTATTTATGTATATGTATATATACATATATAGGTCAATTTCCTATTAATAGAGCAAGCTTAATTCTTACAATACAGACCCAATCATTGTAATAAATTCGATTACTTTAATCGATTCATTGCCAAAAAGATCGAATAATTTATTTACATGCCAGAAAGAAATATATACAATTTGAATATAATATTGAGATCTTAATCAATACGGATGCCTTATAGTACACAATTTATTGACGACAATTTCATAAATCATCAAATTTATTTTAAATCTTCGTAGAATTGTTACTTCACAAATTAAGTGACTGTATTAATAATAATTATAAATTTTTGTCAGCTTTTTTATGCTTTTGTATAAATAAATAATAGGCATGAGTTTAAATTATCAGGTTTTTTTACAGAATATTAAATTGAGAGACCCCAAGTAAAACATTTTATCGAAAAAAAATAAAACAATATAAATTGTTTCTCGAAAAAGAAACGAAGAAGTTTGAGCTTCGTGGTTCTCCAATAATAATTCGGTATCTCATTCGAATAACTGATTTTTTGCTTCAGATTCAGATTTATGAAAAATGTTCTTAAAAATGCGCTCGATGTAAGAATATTGGACTTTTTTTTATGTCGAGGCACGCAAATTAAACTTGATGGAACGATCAGGCTTCAGCAGTTAATTCCATCTCCTCCTTCTTGTTTTTCTTGCTGACGGACTTGTTGCCATAAACATAATAGCGCAAAGGTTTGCCCGCCCATTCCGGACCGCAGCTGTCGATTCCGATCCTGGGACACTTAACGATCTTGAAATCCTCCAACGCACCATCGTCTTCGATCCACATACCCTTCCAGGTACAAACAGAATACTTGTTGTGCTGTCTATCGAGCTGATACGCCATGCAGAGCTTCGACGGGCCGTTGCACAGCTCGTGCAATTTTAGATCAGGTTTCTTCGTCTTCGAGGTATTCGTCTTTCCTCGTTTTTGGCTGTTACGCTGATCAGCCATGCACTCCACACCCTCTAGGGGATCGACGGCTCGCAGCAGCACCGCAGCTCCGTCACCTAAGACCTTACCAACAATGAAGTGGAGATCTTTCGAAGGTACAGACTTAAAGAACTACTCTTCTAAATTGCTAATCCAGAGATATGTGGTAGTTCCATGAAATGTGGCATTATAAAATACGCTTCTTTTCGTGTAGAGGCATCAACGGTTAAAGGATTCAGTGAAAAGGTTTCCCTCAGATTCGACTACGACAAGGATTACCTTCGACCTTAAGCTTCTACAATTCGAAATCCGCTTAAAAAATGTATAATTTTAGACTCGCGATGCAGTGTAAAATGATACAAGGAGAACTAAAATTATAATTTAACTATTTAAAACAAAAATCTCTAATAATTGAAAACAACTTTTCAAGGAGAAAGGTGTACATGTATTTTTGAGCAAAAATTCGAGATTTGCCACGTGAGTACAGATTGGCGCAACACGTTTTGTACTTTCGCATTTAATATTTACAAAGTCTAACTTATCGCGACGTAAGCGTGTTTCTCGCATTCAGAATTTTTCTCGTCTACGCTGGCGCTTCCCAGTACATAATATCGCGTCCTTACGGCGCGATTGTCGTTCGACTTAGAGATTTCGGACGGTACGGCTACTATGGTAAGGGACCTTACAAAGGGTTGACTCTCGAGCCACAGATTATTACACGCATAAGCGAGCTTCCGGTCGAATGCGTCCTGGTCGATCGCAAACGCGTCGCAAATCTTCAACGGACTATTGCAAAGCTCGTATTGCTTTAGGCGCGTCGCACGTCCCGCGATTTGTTTTTCTCTTCCGTTATCCTTACGCCGCATATTTCTTAGCAATTCCATGTACTCGAGGCCCACCAGCGGTTCCACCGCTTTGATCAATACATGCGCATTCTCCTCTAAACGTTATTTAGTATTGTAATACTAAATACATAGTGCACTACTAAATTGTAATTCTAATATAACGCATTAATAGTTTCTCTCGGCAAATAAAAATGCAATTTAAAATTGCGAAAACGTAACATTCTCCCTCTACAGATTTATTCTCTTCTTGCATTGTTTTTGCTATGAACAAGTTAGGGGGACAGCTTTCGTTTTTATATTATTTTTATGGTCTTCATTTCACGGTGGAAAGAAGACATCTCTTAATATCTCGTGCATCTAATAGCGAATTCGATTGCTCGCACTAGTGAGCATTGGGTGCACACTAAGGCTTGTTTATAGTCAATATTCTTATGTTTAACTTTGTCTTAAATACACGTTCGAAGAGTATTTAGCCAGAAAACGATCCGTATGGATGCTATACAGATCATTTTACCGGCTAAGAGATATTTCGAGAGATATTTAGGACGATTCCTATAAGAATTGGCTGTAAAGCTTTGGTGCGCACTAGTGCAAGCAACCGAATTCGCTAGATGTAAAAGAGAAGTCGATGTTTATGTACTCACCTTGGCTAGAGATATTGAAGCAGTGGTACATGCCGTACGTCATGTAAACGTACACAGTCCCCGGTGGCATGTACATCGGCAGGTTGCGAGGCGTAACTCTGTTCTGGTAGGATTGCGACGCCCTGTCGACCCCACCTAAATACGCCTCGGTCTCTACGATCCTACCCTTGAGGACAGTCCCGTTCTCGAGATACCTTACAAGTACTTTCCCTGCAGGAGAATAAAACTAGCTTGTACAAAAATGGACCGATGCCAACGAGGGGTAAATCGCTGAGAGCATTGTGGTGTACAGATTTGTGGCGTTACTAGGCATTTTTTGGGGTATTAGGCCTTGCTGGCGAATTATAAAGATAAAATGAGATAAAAGGATAAAGTAACGCCCACTGGACATTAGTGGGCATTGGTGTACATGATTTTGGCCAGCGGTTTACCCCTTGGATAGAAAAGAAGCTTATGGAACGTTTGTGGAACTGTCACATTACTTTTCGAGAGAGAAAAAAAATGTTTAATGTAACAAGTATTGTTATATATAAGAGAAGTTGAATTCCTTGTCAACCTAACAGCCGCTGTGCCAGCTCCTTGCAGGGAGCGTCGAAGAACTCGTACTGCAATCGGCCGGAAGACAATTCCTTCTCCCAGGGCGTCACGGGGGGATCCTCTAACTGGCTCAGTTCCGCCTTCATCATCTCCAAATCTACGACTGCTCTCACTTTTCCTTTACCGGGCTTTGCGTTCGGTTTCAACTCCTCCGCTTCCTTTCCTCCTGCATAAACGTATATTATTGCAGCAGATAGACGAGTGTACGGATGTATGTTTACAGAGACAAGAGTCTTGTAATGGACTGATTACGCCCGGTCTACAATGAGTTGTTAGTCGTTAGTCAGAAGTCGGAACTATATGTCGGTCCTTTTTCTTCCACCCAGAAAGGAAAAGGATCAACATATAGTTGCGACTTCTGACTAACGACTCATTGTAGACCGGGCCTTAATCTTACAGACCTTCAACGTGAGTCGCCACTTTGGGCGCTCTCTGAGAACCCTTGGATCTTTTGGAGGATGCGACGACCTGACGGTCCGTCGTATCGCCCGCATTTTCGGTATTTCGACTTCGCAAGGACTTGAAATTCAGTTTTGGTTTCTCTGACGCCACCTAATAGAAAGCACAGTAATGCTGAGGTAAATGCGCATCTCTTTCCGTCATGTAAAGGCAGTTGCAATTTGAAAGTAAGAAATATTCCTGTAATAGAAGTCCAGCGTGTTTAGCTACTTAAATTAATGACTTGATATAGCGTTCGAATTCTAGTTTCTTCGTATTAAAATTGTTAAATAAAAAACATTCAAATGAGCTCACAACTTCCAAGAAAAGGATAAGAAAAGTGCTACTTCATTCTCGAAGTTCCGTTGAAATAAATTGGCACTGTCGCTCTTATTCGTGGCAACTGTTGCACGAAATGTAAACAAACCGGTGCTTGAGTCTTGGCTGTCGTATCCTCGTCATTCTTATCCTTGTCGATGTTGTTCTCCTGCTGAATCCTCGCGGCCGCTCTGGTTCGCTTCATCAATTTGCCTCGTGCAAATCCAGTCGTCCCTAAACTTCCAACGGCTCGAAAATGAATTATTCCTACGCGAGACAACAGTGTTAAGGTTAGTCTAACCGGCAGTATTCTCGGTTAGGACTAGGTTAGAAGTTGAGTTTATAGCGTTTTGTATTTCACGGTGTTTAAATGTTAATTACCAAATTGACGACTATTTTCCTGGAGATTTTAGAATTCTAAATCTCACAATCTTTTAGAATTTCTATACGATTTAATAACTTTTAAAAAAAAAGTTTCCTAGATTTTTTAATACAAATTCAAACACTTTAGAAACGCCGAGATCTTTTCTAGAATTCCTCTTATATATTCGAAATACTCGAAACTTTTCATTCTATAATTTTCAAAGAAAAACTTATAAACTCTGAGGAAGTTTAAGGAATCTTTTTGTGATCTTCGCGAATTTAAAACGTGAAAAATAAGAAAAAACGAGATATTACGTACGAGAATTCTTTTCGGAATAAAGATGTGATGATTGAGAAAAAATTAGAGGAATTAGAGGGTGAAATAAAAAGAAATTACCCTTGGTTATCTTTAGCATCGACACAAACTATATTTCACGAGCTTTTCACAAAAATAATATAACTATACGAAAGGAATGTAATATCTAGGATCCTAAAGTCATCTGTTTTACCGACACGTTCGAATACAAGTCTGTTCGCGTCGCATGTTCCAACATGCTCCCGCTTGCCCCAACGACCAATGCCGTCACTTAAATCTTAAATATAATGACGGTATTGGTCGTTGGGGCAAACAGGAGCATGTGGGGTGTGCGACGCGAACAGACCTTTAGTGTAGCCAGTTCAGTTACAATAAACAGACATATTAGCTGCGATCAAACTTGCTACAAATACTGCGAAGTCTTCTTTTCCGTTTTTAAAATAAAGATTAGCTTAAGAAGAATGAAGAAGAGCTTCGGAGCATTTGTAGCGGCAGCTTGACCGAACAGCTTTTATGGGAAAGTAACCGACTTTCGAACTTATGTAACGCTGTACGCTCATTGGTTCATCGAGCACGACGCGACTCGTGACGTGGAAACGCGCCCTAAGGCGCAGCCATTGTGAATCTTCGCGAGCGACGCGCGGCCGGCGTGCACTTGAATTTTCGAATTGTCGTGAGTACTCTTTCATTTTTCCCCCCCTCATTTCGTTATACAATTCCGTATCGTCGCGAAAGCAGTGCGATTCGCGTGCGACGAGGCAAAACCGGGTGCAAAATCGCGGGCACGCGGGCACCGGCGATGCGTGCGCGTCGGCGAGCGAAATCGATGGGGTGGAATTAACTAATGCCAAGGTCGCGCGGGACCGTAGTCCAGCGCGATTATTCGATAATGCGCTATTGCTCGCTGCGTTTACCGGCAATTAACGGGCTTCTTGCAGTGGCGTGTTTTAAATACGCGGTATACGTGCGTGTACGACAAACGTCGCGCACGCAGGCAATGAAAACGGCTCGGCCTGTAATTATCCCGTATCAAACTTCGTGGTTGAAAAAGAACAAGCTGTTATAATTGTATAGAGTTAGTTCTCCCAACGAATTACACCTATTAAGCTTGGCGCAGGATTTGCCAAGTTTTTAAGGCGATTAAAATGTATAATTTTCTATCGCAATAATACATAGAGACCTTCCCAGTGAGAAATGATTCGTCGATCGACGTCAATTCGACGGTGTCGATGTCGTTTCGGCGCCGATCGACGGATCATTTCTCACTGGGTTACTAGCACAGTGCATTGGCCAAACATTGGCAAAACATTGGTCCAATGTTAGTTATATTAGAAATGCATTGGCCGATATTTGACAACGCAATAAGAATATTGGTATTAAATTGATACAATACCAGACCATCTTGCAATACTGGACCAATATCGGGAATACTAGATTTACATTATTTCCCAATATTGGCGCCGATATATTGTGCTACTAGTTACAATTAAAATGAATCGGAGAGCCGTGATACGCACCATATGAGAGTCGGTCCGACAATTTTCCGCTTATGGAATATTGAAAATATTTGGTGAAGGCCGATAATAACCTCATATCGTCAGCCTAACAATAAGTGCGATTGCAATGAATTAATTATAAGGTTACCGTTGCAACTGAATTGGTTTTAGAGAACGCAAAATTGCATTTGTTTTCAGAGGCAGTCGCTGTCGGACAATCGATTACCTCCACGGTCGTTATCTATACGCTACAGGATTTTTGGCTGGTAATTGGTAAAATTAATTTTACCGCGGTTAATGTTAACGCAATTAATTAAACGTTATTAAAATTATTATTAATTAAGCGAGACAGGGATAGGCTACATGCACAGAGGAGTTAATTAATGTGCACGAAAGAAACTTTTGTGACACTAATATACAATTGAATTCTCTAAAGCATAAAATGAAGCATAAAAAGAGTAACATTGTATTTAACATATTACATTGTCATTACGACAGCAGGTCTTATTTGTCATAAAACGTTGCGCATTGTATAGCGAATGATACAATAATCTGGTTAAAAACCAATTTCAACAAATGTGTGATCTTCAATGCTAATTTTAATATGCTTTAATGTTAATTTAAATTACTTTCAAATTACACTTTGTTTATGCAACATTTGATGAATGTTAAGTACTAATAATAGAAAATTTATAAGAGATGCTATTTCTGTAATTGAACCAGGAAGTACTTTATTTGATATAAATATACATCTAATTTATTTGTACGAGAAAACAAAATACTGAATATTTTGCATTTTTTTAATATTTAACAATTAAATCTATTTGAATATTTAAATATCGTTACTTTTGCGTTGTTAATTTGATAAACTTGAAAGCTGGAACTGTGTCGGGCCTTAAAAATATTAAATTTAGAATACTAGACCTTGAACTTTTAAACTTTGGGTCATAAATTTTTTATTACTAAGAATATATGTACATAAGTGCTATGTTTCTTTATTATCAGTTAGTTTGTAGCCTACACATAAATAAACCATGCGTTTTTATCACACGTACTTTACGTTAATAAGTTATTGTCAAATTACAGAGATCAACATTTTAATTTAAGGAATAAACATTTGGATTTCAGATCAAGATTTAATTTTACATCTAAATTTTCGATCTATCTTAAAGTTTTGGCTTTACATAATTTGCTATAAGTTTTTTAACTATAGATCCGTTGACAAATTTGAGATTTTCTCAGGATCAACAGGATCAATGTAAAGTTTTTCGTTTATTATAGTTTTAATTTCGACAAATCGCGCCGCTTCATTTTTTGATGGCTTGCTGGATCTCCAGTAAACTTTTGCCCGTCGTTTCAGGGATCAAGTACCGCACGTAGGGCACCGCTCCAAGTACGAAAAGCCCATAACTCCAAAAGACGATTGTTTCTCCGGCCAAATCGACGAAGGGCTGGTAGCTCTTGACGAACGCGAAGGACAACAGGGCGTTGGTCGAGAAAACGCATAGAGACGCCAGATTCTTGAGATTCGCCGGGAACATCTCACCCAGAAGGGTGCTAGGTACCGTGGACAAGCCACAAGACACGAATAGATTAAAGGCCAGCAGTGACGTGATCGGTAACCATGTCAGGATTTCAGGATCGAAGTTCAGTGAGAGAAGATGGAAGTGAAGACCAAGGGCGGCGAACGAAATGGCGACGCCGATGCTGGAAAGTATCAGCAGATTCTTCCGACCGAACCTGTCCACCAGCAAGACAGCGATGGAGCCAGCAACAACCGTGGAGAAACACAGTGCCATTACCACGATCGATGGGGTGACGTTCGCTTTGGTACTGATGACGATGATCTCTGCATAGGCGTTTATTGTGCTGAACGAGCTAGCCTGCACGAAGACATTCAAGCCGAACATGATCAAGATGTTCTTCAGATTCACTGGAACAGACGGAGATTGAGCTTAGATGTAATTAAAACTTAATTTTTACTTAATCCTTTCGTAATCACTTAAAAGGCGAATAAAATTCCTACTTGAAAAAAGATAATTTGATTATGAAAGGGTTAAAGATGCTCTATGAACTAGTACTACATATTTCTGACAAGGGGAAGGGTTTCTTTTTAAATATTTAGATTTTGTTTTGTATTGCTCGTGGCAGTGTTTTGAGTCTTAGAATTTTTTGAGTTTCATAATTTTCGACACTTGAAAATAAATCTTTTGGAACGTTAAATCAGTGGTGAACAAATTGTGGCTCGCGACCCCTCGAGGGATTGCGAAACTTTTTCCCGCTCTTTATCTAATGTGTAATTTAGTTTAATGTATAAAAGTTGAATTAACGGACAAAAAATACGTACACATAAATTAAAATAACTAATTTAAAAGAAGTTTTTAATTATCTTTATATAATTCTTTGTTTATAATGGTAAAATAATCGAAAGATCACGTTGACTTTCTGTCTGAGAAAAGAGATCGCGAGCATAAGAAATTAGCACATCGCTGATTAAACGTTTTAAAACGTCAAAGCTTTAACGTGAATTCGAGTCTTTGGATTTTCAAGTTGTAAATGGGAAGAATCATGAATTTTCCGGATTGTTTTGGACCAAATCCGAATTTTCGATTGTTTTGATTCTGTTTCCAAATACAAACTCACATCGAAGGAATAATCGTGTGACTTTCTTCTAAGGTACCTGGTAACAGGGCGTCCTTGAGCTTCGTCAAAACGCTGGTGCTGGCGCCGTCGACGAAGTCCTGGAGCTCTCGCATTTCGGCCTTGACGTCAGCCTCTCGTCGGAACCACTTGAGAGATGCCTCGGCCTCGTCGATATTGCCATGAAGAGCATAATGATAGGGTGACTCAGGTATCAGGCTGAAGAGGACCATGAAGAGGATATTCGGTACGAGGCTCACATAACCGAACATCTCCATGGACATGTAAGGGCCCATCGTATTGCCCAGGAACATGCCCATTGACGCTACGTTCACGTTCAAGGATATCTGAAGGTACGTATTACGATGACAAAGCTTTCGCTATGTTGTTCGGCAAACTTGCAAAAGTGAATTATTGATCCTCTCTCTTTGGTAGATTATTGATAAGAATATTTCGTTAAAACAACGTAAAAAGTCTAAACTTCTAAAGGAGAGGAATATAAATCAATACTGCTGTGCTATGCTGCTTGTTACAATAATTACATGGAGCAATTAATGTCAGAAGATTTAACTTCTACGTTATTATATTATTATGTATACACTCTCTTGGTGTTGTATACTACTCATACTATTTTATAAATTTCGAAAATTCTTCTATGCTGCAAATTCGTATATACATAATAAAATGCAGTATATAACTATACCATAATAATATATAATAATATAAATATCTAAAAGTAACATCTTATATAACAATATGTATAAAATATATTTCTTTTTATGAAAAATGTTGTAATACCGCGCGTCGTTGTTTTAAGTTATACGAGAAAAGCTGCTCTTGGCATTTAATAACATTATTATGTAGGATATTATTAAACAAATTGAAAAAGATAAAATTATCATTTGCAACTAAAATATAATAATTGAATAATAATTATACATATATAAATAATACACTCTGAATATAAATAATAAAGAATATTCTAAAAATAAAAGCTAATATATTGACAAAAAATATATCTAGAGATATATTTTTATTATTATAATACTTTAAAGTTAATGATTTCTTCAATATGGATTTCTTGGGCTTTATTTAACAACCAATATCGGCAGTTTAAATCTTTGGAAGTGATAGCTGATTCGAAAGTGATAGATGATTAGTATTATGTCTTAAATCACAATCTGTCGCGTTCTACCGTTCTCCTTGTAATCTGTTTTAATTGTCTTGGGAGGAGATAACGAAGTTTAAATATTGAAGATATCTCGGTCGAACCGAATAGCTACCGTGACTGACCTCGTTTCCACCGCCGTGTGCTTTAATGTCCTTAATGATACAAACCTGATATATCGATAATAAGACGTTGAAATTATATTATAGCTCGTCGCATCCGTTCTGAATTTCGCCAATCTAATTTAATTTGTTCTTATATCTAAAAATTTTCAAAAAAGCTTTTAAAAGTAGAATGACTTAAAAAATCGAACAACTACGCTATAATCTAGAAAATAATCCGAAAATTCCTGTTAATTTACGGGAGAAGGAGAAAGAGTCCGAATTTGTGAAGGACAAAACTATTCGTACAAATTTTAAGGAAGAAATAATTTAAAATTACGATACAAGATGACAAGTTGTACTTGTATCGTAGAGTTTTACGAAAGAAATTCTTAAATAATTTCAGGAATTTCCAAACGACACAGTTGTCTTGAGATTAAACGTGGGATTAAATGAGAGAGAAAAGTTAAAAAGAACGAATGTAGTCGAAGAAAGCTTCACGTATGGAGGGAGACGATTAGTCAAATTACCAGGGAGCCTCGGATAGCAGGATTGGCGATCTCGCCGAGATACAAGGATATCGCGGGCCACATGATACCCGATCCGATTCCGGAGAAGAATCTGGAAAGGTAGAGCCACGTCACTGACGTGGCGCAGATGTTGAGGATCCAGCTAGAGAGTAACGGCAAGCTCGAGAACAGCAGCACCCTCTTTAGCCCGGTATACTCTGAAGGATTGTCGTGGCACGTATTAGAGACATGTCATCCTGAGAACAAGATCACCACAACTCAGAACTGCGGCTCGAACTTTTTAAAGACGAGAGACGTTGTCTTTCACTTTCGTTTACGCACACGTTGCGCCGACAAATTATTCTGCGCGAAGAATGCATGATTGAAGGAAGGAAGACTTCTTTGGGCTAGAACGTAGATACAAATGTCTCGGGGAAAACATTTGGGAAAGGATTCGAGGATTTTAAAAGTCCAGTAAAAATCTGAGTTTGTCAAGAATATATTGTCAAGAATATATTGTTCATAATTTTAAAGTTACAGGAATATTAGAATTGCGTGAATTTCAAGACAGCTTGGAGTCATTGAGAAGGATTTTATTGTTCAATCATGAAGGACGTGAATCCGAAGGTAGTGTGTGTATGTGTGTGGCTCCAAATATTTTTAGCTTTATTTTTTTCTAGACTTCCTATCTTAGTTTTTATTGTTAAGACATAAAAATTTATTTCGGATTTTCGACTATTGCTGAGTCGTGGTTGGCTTGTTCTTAGGTCGCGAATTGTTGTTCGGTTTTAATTGGAAGAAGATTCAAATTGCCTCGAGGTCAAGCGATTGATAAATTGAGAAAAATTTACTGGACAATATAAAAAGAAATGAATGCAGAAAGAATTGTATTTCTTTCTCTCTTACAAGATTAAAAGCAGAAAAAATAGAATATTAATAAAAGAAACGATTTAATGAAAGAAATTATTCATGTGTTAATAACGTATAAAATAAATTATAGAATGTTGAAATATATATTACGTTTTAATTGGCATATTACAATGTATGACCTATAAATATATTATATATGCTAATAGAAACACAGTTGATTTATACTGGGGTGTAATAGACAGAATTTAATGATGGATTTGATCGATTTAAAGAAATTTATCTCGACAAATCTTTTTAAACTTATGATCGATGTATCTTATGAGGATGAGTATGTATGTTTCTCCAGCAAAAACGATCGTGTGACTCTCACCTTGACAAAAAGCACCGAGAAGCGCCCCGATTACACGACCAAGGCTTAAAAGGGACGCGACCCAAGATGCCTCGAAGTCGGTCAGTTTCAAGGGAACGTCTGCGTCCGCTGATGTTAATTGCGCTAAATACGGTGAAGCCCAGCCGTTCGCCATACCAGAAACGATGGTTTCTAGACTCACTGTTGAGCAAAACGAGACGTATCGTCGTAAAACACTCAAGCTGTCATTAATGAGTAATAACAGTTCACGGAAAGCACAGTTTTGCTGAAGTACTTGAAAATTTAAGTTGATATAGATTTGAAAATCATTTTGTTGGATCATCAAAATAATTGTACAGGGTGCTCAAGCTGGTTGCTAGAACGGCAAAAACTTTTGGCAGCATTATTATCATGTTTGACAATTATCTTATATAATTATTTTGATGGTCCAACACAAAATTATTTGTAAATCTAGCTAAATTCTTAAATATTTCAGCGAAACTACTTTCCGTGCTTTTATGAAAAAATAATATCCATACATTTTGAAGAACACAAATTTTTAATGATTGTTTTAAAGATATAATTAATGTTAACAAAACAACGATTGGGATTGCATAGGAAAATATTATATATTGTATATGAAGAATGTAACTTTTTAACTATGCGTTTTATTCTCTATTAAACAGAATAATTTGATGTATTACATACATATGTAGGTTTAGTTAAAATATTGAGTAACTGTATTACACTTACTTGCAAAAGCAGTAAGCCATTGCGGCCAAACAGTGATTTTCCTGCTAACGGGAACCTCTGGATCTTTAGTGCAGGACATCTTTCCTCAAGATGTGCAAGTTGTGAATCGCATATTACGCGTCCAGATGGAATTGGACTGACCCTTGCGGGTTCGGGATCCTCAGTTTCTTAACGAGGAAGAAACAAGGTGAACGCATTTACGTTCCGATAAGAGTAAGACTTATTTATAGCGTCATTACGAGTCATGATTTGTTACTACATTCTGCAAATCCCGTCTGACAAAACGTGTATTTGCACTGGCGATCTATAAAAAGCGAACGTCAGTACCGATTTATCGTCATACAGATTCAAATGTTCACACTCGAGGATTCCTGAGAGAACATGATGAGAATCTTGAAAAGTTTCGCGTTTCAAAGATCTCGAGTTTTAAAAAATCTCAAGTCTGAATACGTTTCGAGAGTCTAAGTTTTCATGCGTTCAAAGTGCTGAGAGGACGAAGCGTCACAAATTTCTAAAAAGATTACGTATTCAAAGCTTGGAGGATTTTAAATTTTGAGTTTGACTTATTTAAATTTGAATTTAAATTTTTTAAAAACTTAGGATTATTAGAATTCAGGAGCACTAGACGAATTTCGAGTAAAAGGCTAAAAATAATTTTAAGTATTACAAAGTTTAATTATGTGAGAAATTAAAAAATTCATATGGAGAATACAAATTTTTTATGGTTGTTTTAAAGATTAAATTAATGTTAATAAGCAATGATTTGGAGTACACAAGAAAATATACATTTGAAGAATATTATATTTGTGAGCACGTCATATTGTTTTCTTTATATATATAATAATATAACATTAAAAAATAAAATGCCTTGATTTTTTTCTCAGCAAGACAAGTATTAAATATTGTTACAAAAGTTCAACTTTGTGATAATATTTAATACTTGTCTTGTTGAGAAAGAATCGGGGCATTTTCTGTACAAAAGACAGCACTGGCTTTCGGTTTTGGGAAGATTCCAGGCAGCGTACAAATACTGATGAAAATTATAGTGGTAATTGACGGCGGTTACATTCTTATCGCGAAAACATGTCAAGCGCCTCTAGCTATTAAAAATACCGAAGTTCCGGCGGCCTTTGCAAATTTATTGCCTTGACATGAAAATAATCACATGAGCATTTTATCTCCTCTAGGATATTCTTATTAAAAGAATCTCGCCAGGAATCTATCATGTAATATTCTATAATATATAAAAAAATAGATAATTATTTTTATAAATATAGTGTAATGACTACGATTTCACTCGACTTTATCAAGTCTAAATTTTATATAATTTAATAAGAAATTATGTTATAAATTTTTTAACTGGAAGTTTTTAACTAGAAGCGGGATATTTTGGAAAGATTAAATATCCTTTTATAGATTTTCTAGCCAATTAAAAGTTAATCGTGTCTTATAATTAGTAAAAGATACCCAGGCGTCAATAATTTTTCAGTTATAAATTAATTTAGAAGAGAGAATTTATTCCTCCCTCTATAAAAAGGAGATGTTAACTGCGTGAATGTCGTTAATATCGAACAGTTGGTTTTCTCGAAGCGCGGTGTGTTTCACTTCTCTTTTAGATTCATTGCGAATGAAGATTTGCAATTTAGAAATATACATTTGTATACATTAATTATTGAGGTAAAATCTCTAATCTTGGTAATTAGAATTTAAGTAACAACGATTTTTGTTTCGAAACAGTCTCGATTGAACAGAATTAATCGTTAATTTAATCAATGAAAGTAACGTAAAATATTAAGTACGGAATTTTCCATTTCGTAGGCGGGACAACGAATTCTCAACGTTTTTTTGTTGTTTTTCACTTGGCGCGGTATCGTACGACGTTACGAGGGCCAGTGTTTACCTGAAGGTCGCTGCGTTCTCACTCGCTCGCCGAACGTCGTGCCGGCAAGCAGTTGCGAGAGTCGCTCCGTGCGTACTATTACTTTTGTGCTATAATCGGTTTCCAAGATTCGATCGCGGTGAATGCAGGGATAAAACACTATTGATTTGCACACCTTTATTGGAAACAAGTAACGTTCCTTGATTAATTACTAAGTTTCTACAACTTGTAACGAGAAACGAATTGCATGTTGAGGCGACGGCTCTTTATCAACGTATACATATTTCACGAGACTAACTCATCTAATTGTAAAATATGAATGTAAACCGTGGTACTTTGTCGCGGTTACATCTCGTTTACGCACCGCGCTTTTAATTATCTATCGATTTCGTGTAATCTGTTCCATTTTCGGGAAAAGAGAGAAATTTGTGTGACTTCGGCGTTCGCGCTGTAATTCGCTTTGTCGTTCTTCGCAACTCGTACGGGCAGGAAATCCAGAAAGTCGCTTATTGCACGTCGTTACATTATGTAAATGATCGCGATTAGCTATTGCGATTAATAACTACTATTTATCGCTAGAACTTTTGTTCACATAACTTATCTCGAGGATTGGATTGAATGACAAAGATTGTAAAATATCGTTTCGTTGCGGAATAATAACTACTTCTTTACCGCAGATTATGCCTCCGGTGCTCGCGTTGCGTTTTATATCGCCAATTCAAAAGTGTTTTATCCATTATCCTATTCTTCCGAATCAAAAATACAAATTGTTAGTTTGAGTAATTTGTATGACAGAAAGTCACGCGATATTTGTTAATAATATTTCGTGGTATTTCACATCGCGTACCCCAGTGAGAAATGATTCGTCGATCGATGTCAAAACGATGTCGAATCGACATCGATACCGTCAAATTGACGTCGATTCGACATCGTTTCGACATCGATCGGCGAATCATTTCTCACTGGGACGGGAGTGTCCGAAATTTCGCGCGATCGATAATTTTCGATAATTTGCGAGTGAGTGTTGTGTCAGTGCAAGAAAGGAATCTGAGAGGAGGAGGAGGCCCAGGAGGCATCGGGCAACGGCGGAGAAATGGTGAGGTAAGTGTCTTACAATTTAATATGTTATTTGTTACTTGTGCAAAATAAAGCATCTGTTCTGTGTTTTTATTTTATTTATTCAAATAATTCGGACGAAGATTCGAATAAGTGTTAGAGACAAAACCATACGTATAAAATTTTGTGAGTTTATATTTAAAAGGAAGACTTTTTCAGTATTCTATATAATTATTTTTATAAATACCTATTTTTTTAATATAAAATATAAAGTATATTTAGTACAATAATTTTGATTTTACACAATTCGTCTATAATGATCATACACATATTTGTATTTTTACAGTTTAACTATATGGTTACCGATGTACAACTCTGCTGTTGCGAATCGTATCAGTGAGTGATAAGTTACTTTTTATTTTAAATTGACGTTGCGCATACAATTACTTCTTTGTATGTATAGAAATTCTTAAAAATAAACAATGCCCAACCACAAACTGCACGCGCGTTTTGACATCTCTAGTACGAATAAAAATTTAACTCATTTCAGACGGAGTTCTATAAAATTTTAATTTAATTATGGAAAGGTGTAATATTAAAAATAGTAGAATACATATATATAAATATATATATAGAAGAAATGTGATTTTGATTTAATTTTTTATTTAAATTTTGTATAAAGCTAGAAAAATTATTGATTGAACTAAATCATATCAAGCTTACAAAAATTTCCAACATGTTAAATTTGTTTCCAAACTTTATTTCTTGATGTTATGATTTTTATATTTTTTTAACATTTTTTATATGTTTTTATCGGAAAAGATTATCTGGTATGTTCATTTATATCATTATTATACATTCACATCATTTGAAGCTCGCTTTAGATAATTTATAATTTACGTGAGATTTCAGGATAGAATATCATCTATAATTTTGTATATTTCAATTATTGAATTTAATACAAATTATATATATATAACATATGTATATCTATTATAGATTCTTTAAACTTCCATATTACATCACAAGTAAAATTATAATTGAATTTTAAGTATGTATGGAGAATTCTGAGAAACAAAACTTGATTATAATAGTCTTATTTTTAATATCAAGATTGCCGATTTTAGTTAATTATTATTTATCTTAATTAAGCAATAATGCAATTAAGCAAAAAATAAATAAGCAATAGAATAGCTAGTAAAATTTATATTGAAATATGACACATGTATGTATATTGAAATTATATGTGTGTATTTAAATATAAAGTTTACTTGCATATTCTGTTGCTGTTAACAAAATTGTTTTAATAAATTAAATACTAAAATTATTTTAATTATTTTTAACTATTATATACTTCAATAGAAATTGTTCAATTCTTTTCCTAATAAAAATCTTCAATCATGCGACGTATCAATCGTTATCTTGGGTAAATCTAGACACCGGATTTAGATTACAAACGAGTGTGAACGAAACTTTCGACGCTATGTGTATTGAAATAAGTTCTTTTCATTTATTCATGCATTGTCTATGTTCGTTATACCTACTTCGCGTGGATTCAATTTTAGGTAACGAAATTGCTAAACAAGTGCGGAATTGTACGATAATAATCTATTCGTCGAAATTAAACCAAAATCTAATCAGCAGAATGCAAACGGGGCGTGAATTTATTTGAGAAAATATTAAATACCGTGAGATGACTCAGTTAGTGTGCGATCTTTACTCGTTTTCGTAGTACGTGTTTGCGTCAGGTCAACGCGCTACTTTTCGTTACAGTGACACTCGAACCGGCAAACAGTGACGCGAGTCTCGTCGTGTTATCACACCGAAACACTTTTTTCTTAAAACAAATTACCGCGATTAATTACAGTCTCATTAAATTTAAAAAGAATCCTTTTTTTTCACAATTCGTAACAGTATCGAAGCGATTATGCGGAAGCAGATGTATTTTAAGCTTTTTATTTATTTTATTTATTAAACGTTCCTTTTCTTTTGTCACTTGGTGATAAATTTTACGTAATTTTATTTAACATTTTACATAATTTTATTTAACCGTAATATTGCTACTTGCTCGTCTTTTTCTTTTTATCTCTACATCGCTTTGCGCTTAGCGCTTATCATTTTATCTCACTTGAAAATAAAAACGGCACCATTTACGAACGGTGAAATCATCAACAGCATCTTCTCCGTAAACAGAAAATATTTTTCGTTTGGTCTGAACAACAGATTTTGCCTTTTCGAAAATAAAAAAGCATAATATGCCGAAAGTGACTTATTTTTTTATCCATCTTTATAAATTTACACGACTCACAAATATCAATCGACGACAACAAATTTGACAGGACAGTTTTCGTCCAATTGCTACTTTTAAATGTTTAATATGTCATATAAGCGTGAAGTTGATAGCAGATCGAATTCGTATATAAAGTGCGCGAATGTTTAACAACGGGACGCGCTTATGCA